AGAAGTTGTAACTTGCTAGTTAGATGAATTGTTAGAAGCTTTGAAGAAACATATCTTACAGCAATATAATTCATCAGAACACAAACTGTTTTCAGTGTTTTTAATGAAATACTGCCAATTCAATACAGAGCAGCAAAAAGTTTTAATTCATTATGAAAGTCAAAGATTAGGGTTAAATACCAAGGATGCTAAATCAGGCCCATTACTGAAAATACAGTTGAAGCTTTAATACATTTATAAAGCAGAATGAAATTATTTCTCCTCTTCCTCCCCCATTCCTTTGGTATTCCATCATATGTATATATCATAATGTATTTATTCTTTCTCCAGGTGATAGGCATTTCAGTTATCTCCAGTTTGGGATTCTTATGAATAAAACTGCTATGAATGTTCTCATACATGTCTTTTGGGGGACATATGCATTTATTTCTGTTAGGTATATACAGGATCACACCTAGAATATTTGATACCTGGAATTCATCATTTTTAGTGCTCCTAGTCCTCTAAAGAGCAAAATTATTTCCAGTAATGAAAATGAAGTGAAATGAACAATAATGACTGGATAGCCAGTGATTGCTATTTTTTCAATTTTTGATTTTTAAATAATTATATATTCACAGAAATTGCAAAAATAATACAGAGATCCCATGTACCCTTATCCAAGTTTCTCCCAATGGTTCTATCTCACATTAACTAGACTACAGTATTAAATAAGAAAGTTGACATTAGTACCATATGTATGGATAGTTCTGTGCCATTTTACCACATGTGTAGATCCATCTAACCCACCACGACAATCAAGATACAGAGTATTCCATCTCCACAAAGATTTCTGTCGTGCTGCCCCTTATTTTCACAGCCACCACTCTCACCCCATCTTCTCTAACCTCTGGCAACCACTAATCTTTTCTCCATCTCCATAATTTCATCATTTCAAGAATGTTATGTAAAGGGAGTCATATAGTATGGGATCTTGTGAGACTGGCTCTTTTCAGTCAGCATAGTGCCTGTGAGGTCCATGCAAGTTGCTGCATGCATCAGTCATTTTTCCTTTGTATTGCATTGTATGGATGTACTTAAGTTTGTGAAAACCGTTCACTGAATGAAGGACATTTTGGTTGTGTCTAGTATTTAGCTATTACAAATTAATCTAATATGAACATTTGTGTATGGGTTTTTGTATGAACATAAATTTTCATTTCTCTATGATAATTGTCATGTTTTTGCTGGGTTTTGTATTTATGCTTCACTTTTTTTAATTTTTTAAACATGGGAAGATTGATTATTTCTTTGACATATCTTCTTGTAGAGTAACTTAAGCATGTATAGGTTTTAAACTACTAATTAAATTGCATACACACATTAACATAATAGGAATACAGTTACATAACCAAAGCAGACCTATAATTACCATATTTATGCTTCACTTTTATAGAAACTGCCAAATTGTTCTCCACTGTGGCTTTAATGTTTTATATTCCCACCAGTAATGCATAAGAAATCAGGTTTTTACTTATTCTTGCCAGACTTTGATATTGTCAGTATTAGCACAGAGGTATGTAGTGGTATAATGGTCTTAATTGGCATTTCCCTAATGACTGGTGATGATGAACATCTTTTCATGTGCTTTTTTTCCAGTTATATATCCTCTTTGGTGAAATGCCTCTTCTTGTCTTTTGCTTATTTTCTAATTGGATTAGCTGTTAAGTTTTAAGAGTTTTTTCAATATATTCTAGACATGAGTCCTTTGTGTATGATACATGGTTTGGAAATAGTTTTTCCTAGTCTATAGCTTGTTTTCTTAAAATTCTTTTAACTGGCTTTTCACAGAGAAAAATTTTTTGAGTTTGATGATTCCAATTTATCAATACTTCTTTTATGAATCATGCTTTGAAAAATTGTGAAATTTCTTTTTAAGTGTCCTATATTTATACACAATTAAATGATTTGACTCCAAATTAAGGTAGGCATTTTTGGGCTTTATTTTGTTTTGGGGTGTTTTATTAAACAAATACCCTTGGATGTGTTGTCAGGACACTTGAGGGTAGTCTTGCCTCTGTCAATTTCTGGCAGAAGTGATATAATGAAGTACCAAAGAACCCAAACCACAGGGCCAGACTTCGAGGTCTTCAATCCCAGCTCTACCACCTATGAGATGTATGATCTTACCTAAGATGCTTAATGCTCTGTGCCTCCATTTTTTTATCTGAAAACTAGGAATAATGGTAAAAATGAACTTGCAATAATGCTCACTGCGACATCGGTTAAGAAGATTATAACATTTCATACATGTAAAGTGCTTAAATAGTACCTGGCAAATAATAAACACTCAATAACTGTTGCTAATATTATTACTACTACTGGCTGTGTGGCTTGGGAAGACACTTAGGCTCCTTGAGTTTCAATCACTTTAATTTTAAAATGGGGATAATACTTGCTGCTCCATCCAAGTTATAAAATACTTGTGAGCATAAAGTAAGATTTTATGTGTGAAAGTACCATGTAAAGTATTCACAAACAAGAAGCTTTTCTCTCATTAAAATTAATATCAAATTGTAAATCATTAAAATTAGATAGATGTTCTATCTATCTGTAGATAAAAAGGAGCACCCCTAAATTGAGAGTTCCTAAGGTCATGTAATTAGGTGAATCATTAGGATGTAGGGGGAAAATATTTGATATTTATTTTTTATCTCATCTTTAAAATTTTCACTTTTCCATATATTTAATAATTTACATGGTGTAGCAACATAGTAATAACTGTATACAATTTATAAATAATCATATTTGTTATTGGGTGCTGAGAACTTTTTTACTGAAAGGCATACATAATCAAAAAGTTTGAAGACCTACCAATGTAAAGAAATCTTGATGTGGGCACCCTCATGCTGTGTTAACTCAGGCCCTCTTGGCACCATGCATCATCATCTACCTTTACAACATTTCTGTACTCTGACTTTATATTAAGGAAGGGAATTATCTTAAGGAAATCATCAGAGATAAGTAGAAAAAGCTGTTTACTCATACTCATTGCAACATTATAATCAAAGTGAGAAGTAACCTATATGTTCATCAAACAGGGAAATGTTTAAATAAACAGTGCTATATTTATAGGCTTTAGCCTCTATTACACAGATCAGTAAACTATAATAAAGTTTTGAAGTTAGGAATTATTTTTAAGAATATTCCACAAGGAAGAATTCCCAATATGTTAGGTGGAAAAAATCAAGATATAAGGAGATACCTAGATAGATACATAGATATGAAAAATGACCCCAATTCTTATAAAAATGTACATACACAGACTGAAAAGAAATACACTAATATTTCTGATAATATCAGTTATCTCTTGCTAGTTGGAGTAAGCATATTTTCAGTGTCTTTATCCTTTTCTATATTTTCCAGTTTCTCTGCAATGAATATGTATTAGTTTCATTATTAGGAAGAGTTTCTATTTTTTAAAGAAAAAAAATGTCATAAGCCCCAATTGTTGTTATTTAGGTTTCAGACTTTCAATAATTGAAAAACTTTCCTAGAGTATAAACATAGTATTGGGAAAGACTTTAATAACTTATCCTGGTCAATTCTTGTAGAATTTCAGACAGATGAATTCATTTGTCAATGATAAAGTATTTTGTTTTGTTATGATAACCTAGAAATTTCAGTTTCTGTTATCTTTTTGAGCCTTCCACAGAATATGAGTAACTGCTGGTTGTTTATGTTGCTAATAAGCATGATTATAATAAATTAAACCAACATTATTTACTGGGCATTCTGTGGGTAGTATGGGGCAAATATTCCTGAGTCCCAACCCTCAAAGAGATTCCAGGTTAGGGAAATGAGACCAACCCTTGTCAAATGTTGAATAATACTCAACAGTATATGATAAATGTCAATTTGTGTGGTATTAACTACTCTTGAATAAGAGTTTAGACCTCATCCGTTCTTTCAGTTTCAACAACTAAAATTTCTTCAAATGTCCTCTTTTGAGCCCATTCTCAACATCAGCTTCTAGGTGCTGAATTTTATTTAGAAATCAAGAATACTTAATATTTATGAACATTAGCATCAGTCAGACGTTCTCAAATGTGACTGTATGCCACAATCCCCTGAGGAGCTCTGAAAAAATACAGTTGCCAGGGTTCTGCCCCCAGATATTCTGATTTAACTAGTCTGGTCTGGGAGTAGGGGAGGAAAGAAGTGGGAAATTGGAATTTGCAAATATCCCCAAGTAATTCAAAAGTGCAGTCAGTGCTGACTATCAGAACCCTGAAACTGAAAATGGGCTCAATGAAGAACTGTTGAAGAAATCTAAACTACTAAGACTTAGAAAGGATGAGGCCTAAACACTTACTGATAGAGCACTTCTTTTTGAATGGTAACATAGGCCTGGGTGTGAAAAGGTAACAACAAGGGCTGTTTTCTCAACTCTGGCAGAAACACCTTCAGTGGGCTTCTGCCCTGCCAGGAACCCAGGGGCAAGGGGAAGCTTCACCATGATTTGCTGATTCTACCCTTGGATCTTTCCTTGGATGTGCACGTAGGGTCCCTTCTAACCAAAGTCTTAATCCACTTTACTATCACATGGACCTGTGTCTTGTCTATTTCCTTGTAATAATAATAGTTACAATTTATTGAGCTCCTACTATCTGTCAGGTATTTATATCCATTATCTCTAATCTTTACCAGAATCCTGAAAAACAATTATTTTATAGATAAAGAAACAGGCTCAGATAGCCTGAGTTTTTGAATCCATGGTCACCCAGAAGTGTCAAAATCAAGATTCAAAGCCTGCTCAGCCTGACTCCAGTGCCTTACCTTTTCTGTGACATCTTGGCGCTAGCCTCCCTGCCGCTCCCTCACGTTTCCTCTGGCTCAGACAGCCTACATCCAGACCTTTTATTTTTCTCACTTCAGTGTCTGACCATGCAGATATATGCCCAAATAGAGCAGTGTCTTATGAAAGGCTGGGTCTTGCCTTTTAAAAATTCTCCTTTTAGGGAATGCTGTGAGGAGCTCCGTGCTGAACTGTTTTGTATCCATCAGAAGAAAGTGTGCGAGGAGCGGAAAGCACAGATAGCATTTAATGAGGAGCTGAAAAGGCAAAAACTGGTGGAAGAGCACATGTTCTCAAAGCTCTGGGAGGAAGACCGACTAGCCAAGGAAAAGCGAGAAGCCGAGAAAGCAAAGAGACAGAAAGAGCTGGTGGAGAACACACGGCTGGGGCTGAATGCCCAGATCACCAGCATCTGGGCACAAAGGCAGGCCGCACGGCAGCTGAAGGAAGAGGAGGCGCGCTTTGCGGTAGGCTTTTTACAATGCTTGTCACAGGATGACCAACTCCGTGGGTGTGGTGCACGCTTTACAGGCTGGTTCCTGGGAAGTTTGCCTAATGGTCTGGCTGCTTCACACGTCAACAGAGCATGGTCAGAGCCTTAGATTTCAAGGCTCAGCTAACAGTGCTGTCCCATTGTATAGGGCAAATTATTTCACTACTGTGATTCAGTTTCTTCATCTGAAAAATGAGACAAAAGACACTTGTTTTTGTTGTGAAGATGGAATGGGATAACCATTGCCAGTGGGATGGAGGGCTAGTGACAATTTGGCAACATCCCCCAATCTTTGATATGGAGAATTGACAGTTTCTACACCCTGTGTAGAGTGCTAGACAACAGCTATAGTGGTACCCTTCCTCCGCCCCAAGCCACCAACATCAGTAATTCTGTTCCAACAAGATCACTGTTCCTATTATGTAGAAATTACAGCTGTTGCTTGAAATGTGTGAAGGTACTCAAAACTGGAGCAATTTTATATGTATATAAAGATTTCAGCATCTGTTACTTTACTCTAAATTTAGGAAAAAGGTATTGTTTTCCTGGGAAATCCCAAGTACTGAAACTTGGAGCCATAAGAAATGTTAAATGTAAGCTATTTCAACATGAACCCTAGAAACCCCTGGATTTAAGACTGTTTTCTTGTGGGAAGTTTAGTAGAAGATGTCTAAATATTTTGGCTCTTCAAAGAAAATAAAAATGGTGGCCTTCACACTGCCTTATATATACCCATCCTCTGATGTAAGATACCTTATGAGCCATTTTTACTTAAACACAGCTGACACTAAGTGTGTGTGCTTTTTTCTCACACCAAACAATTCTCTGATTCTCTGTGGATACCCAACTTGATGAACAACAATTCAGTTCCAATCTGACACTAATTACCCAGAAATAGCCTCATTCTGCATGAGTTTAAAGCCTCCGTTTTACAGAACTGCCCTGACTTCAGAAGCCAGTCAGTAACAGTGGGTCCCCAGGATACCTACATTCTCTTCAACTTGGATGCAAAGTCACAGGTTCACATGACTCCCCTCAGGTTCGATAATTCACTAAAACAACTTGTAGAACTCAGGAAAGTGCTTTACTTACTAATTTGTTGTAAAAGCTATGGGCAGAACAGCCAAATGGAAGAGATGCATAGAGCAAGGTGTCAGGGGTGGCATCCAGAGCTTCCATGACCTCTCTGGGTACACAATGTTCCTGGCACCTCAATGTGTTTACCATCCCTCAAGTTCTCCAAACCCTTAGGGTTTTTATGGCAGTTTTGTTATGTAGGCACGATTGATTAAATCTTGGGCATTACTGATTGAACTCAGTCTCTGGCCCCTTACCAGGGATAGAGCTGAAAGTTCCAACGCTTTAATCACATGGTTTGATCTTTTTGGTTACCAGCCCCATCCTGAAGTTACCTAGGGTGGCCAGCCACCAGTCGTCTCATTAGGATACAAAAGGTAGTCCTTTTACCTTGGATTCCAAGAGTTTTCAAAGCTCTGAACCAAGAACTGAAGATAAAAACCGAATATGTATTTTATCATACCACACCTAGCTATCTCTGTTTCTACCTTCCTTTAAAAAAATTTTTGGAAATTAAAAAATAATGATTTAAGACTCACAAGAAGTTGCAAAAATAGTAGAGAGTTCCTGATGCCCTTATATAACCAATATCATATATAACTGTAAAAACCAGAAAATTGACATTGATGTTTTACTTTCAACTAAACTTATTCCTTACGTAACTAAATTAACACCTTCTTTGGATTTCACCCGTTTTTATATGCACTCTTTTGGGGAAGGAGGGTATGATCTATGAAACTTTATCACATGTATAGATTTCTGTAACCAGTGCCAAAATCAGGATATAGAACTGTTTCATCACCCAAAGAAACTCCTTCCAGCTATAATGTATAGTTATATTCTCCCTCAACCCTAGCCCCTGGCAGCCACTGGTATGTTCTTTATCACTACTGTTTTGTAATTTTGAGAATGTTATGTAAATTCCACCCTTTTAAATGTTTTATTATGAACACTTTCAAATGCACAGAAGTGGAGAGTACAGTGAACCTCTGTGTACCCATCTCCCGTTTTCAGCAGCTGTTGCATTTTGCAGTATTGATTTCCTCCATCCTCCCCAACTTCACTTCATTTTTATGTTTTAAAACAAATCCCAAAAATGTCATTTGCCCCTTAAATATATCTCAAGTATTCGTCTCAACAACATAATTGACATTTTCTTTCAAATGCCACTATCTAACCTAAAAAAATTAATGGTAATTCCTTTTAATCATAAAAAATCAGCATCAAATTTTCCATCACTGTCTAAATTATTTGATACTTAAATCAGAATCCAAACATGATTGTTATGAGTCTCTTAAATATGACTGTTTATTATCAAACCAGGGCACATTTGAGATTGAAAGGTATACAATAAATTCATTACATTAGCATAATAGGTATAAAATCAGAACTGTCTTGGTGAAACCAAGACATGGTAAGCTACTTTTAGGTCTCTTAATTTTGTAGTTCTTCCCTGTCCTATCTCTACTTGTCTCACAGTCTGGATTTGGCTGATGTCTACCTTCTGGTGTAGTCAACCTTACTTTTAAAGTATGACCTGATCTTTTCACTAACTTTCATGTTTGATACCCATTGCTTTTCCGTAGATACTGCAGAGCATTTTCAACTTACACTATCTCATTTGACCCTCACAATTCAGGATTTACTGCTCATGACATTAATGGAAAAATCTAGCACATAACTACCCTCTCACAAATCAGTAATCATGGTAATAATCATGGCTGATGTGAGTCTCGTTTAAATCAAGTCAATGGGGATTTATTCGGTGCTCACTATTGCTATGTCATCTCCTGTTCCAGATGGGCAAGTACTTATTTCTCCAGGAGAGTTCAGCTGCCTCTGGCAGGAGAACTAATGCCCCAGCTTATACCATACCCAGATTTTCTACCAAACCCACAATGCCCAACAGCATTGTGCCCCAGGAAAAACTGCTTAGTTGGCCACACGATTAAACTCAGCCAGGAGGGCCAGGAAGACAAGAAAATGAGAGGAATCAAGAATGCTTTTAAAGGAAAAAATGCTCAAAATGTAATTTTGTGTATGTAGCTGATGTGCACATTTCTGCTTTGGGACTTAGTTGCTGCTTAACAATGTATCCAAATCTAGATGTGCAGCTGTGCATGAAGGGTAAAGGCTAGGAGGTCAATACACTGAAATGTTGACAGTAGTAGGGGGTGATGGGTACTAGGAGTAAAGGTGATTTCTCTTTATACTTTTCTGCATTTTGAACTCCACAACTACTTATTTTATAGATACACACACACACACAAAAGGGTAAAGGCTAGGAGGTCAATACACTGAAATGTTGACAGTAGTAGGGGGTGATGGGTACTAGGAGTAAAGGTGATTTCTCTTTATACTTTTCTGCATTTTGAACTCCACAACTACTTATTTTATAGATACACACACACACACACAGCAATTTCACAAAGCCTTATTGCTGACTCAGGAATGAAAAGGCAAGTTTATTTCATATAGTTCCTCTCAATTCAGGTCTGTGTATTCCCAAGAAATCCTTTATTCTCATCTCTTAAATGAAATGCATTAACTTGTTTTGTCTACCTATACTGGTGTTTTTTCTTTACAATTGTGTTTCCATAGGAAAATGAGAAAGCACAGGTGAAACTTGAGAATGAACAGGATAAGCTAAAGAAACAGAAAACAAAACAGGAAATTAGGACCACTTTGCAAAAAGCCCTCCAAGAGAAGATAGAGCATATTCAGCAGGAATACAGAGAAGAGCAGGACTTAAACATGAAGCTTGTACAAAGGGCCCTTCAAGACTTACAGGAAGAGGCTGATAAAAAGAAGCAAAAAAGAGTAAGATGGTTATTAATTGCTTACTATGTGCTGAATGAGAACCTTTGTTGAGCTCTGTTTTTTTTTTTGTTGTTGAAGTATCATTGATATACAATCTTAGATTGGTTTCAAGTATACAACAGAGTGGTTCAACAATTACCCATATTATTAAATCCTCACCCCCACTAGTGCAGCTACTATCTGTGAACATAGCAAGATGTTACAGAATCATTGGCTATATTCTCCATACTGTACAACAATCCCAATGGCCAACTTACATTATAATTGAGAATTTTTGTGCCCTTTTATTCCCCTCACCTTCCCCACCCACCCAACCTAACCTCTCCTCCATGGTAACTACCAACCACTTCTCAGTGTCTATGAATCTACTGCTGTTTTCTTCATTTTAGTTTTATATTCTACAAATAAGTAAATCATATGATACTTCTCTTTCTCTGCCTGGCTTATTTCACATAGCATAATGCACTAGGTCCATCAATGTTGTTACAAATGGCAGGGTTTCTTTTTTATGACTGAATAATATTCCATTGTGTATTTATCAATTCATCTATTGGTGGACACTTTAGTTGCTTCCATATCTTGGCTATTATAAATAATGTGGTGATAAACATAAGTATGTGTATATCTTTTTGAGTCAGGGATTTTGTTTTCTTTGGATAAAGTCCTAAAAGTGGAATTACTGGGTCTTATGGTATTTCTATTTTTAGTTTTTTGAGTAAGCTCCATACAGCTTTCCACACTGGCTGCACCAATTGACATTCCCATCAACAGTGAAGGAAGATTCCCTTTTCTCTACATTCTTGCCAACACTTGTTATTTCTTGTCTTTGGATAGTAGTCATTTTAACTGGTGTGAGGTGATATCTCATTATGTTTTTTATTTGCATTTCCCTGATTGTTAGCAATGTGGAACATCTTTCCATATGCCTACTGGCCATCTGTATTCATTCCTTTTTTGGAGAAATATCTGTTCAGGTCCTCCATCTATTTTGTAATCATGTTATTTGTTTCTTTAGTGTTGAGGTGGATGAGGCCTTTATATATTTTGGATGTTAACCCCTTTTTGGATGAATTGTTTATGAATATATTCTCCCATACTGTAGGTTGCCTTTTTGTGCTGCTGATTATATCCTTTGCTGTACAGAAGCTTTTTGGTTTCATGTAGTCCCACTTGTTGCTTTTTACTTTTGTTTCCCTTGCCTGAGATATGTCCAGGAAAAAATTGCTCATGCTTATTATGTTCAAGAGATTTTTGTCTATGTCTTCTAAGAGTTTTATGGTTTCATGTCTTACATTTAGGTCTTTGATTCATTTTGAGTTTACTTTTAATCCAGTTTCATTCTCTTGCATGCAGCTGTCCAGTTTCCCAACACCAGTCATTGAAGAGACTCTTTTACCCATTGTATATTCAGGGCTCCTTTATTGTGTATAAATTGACCATATATGCATAGGTTTACATCCAGGCTCTCTACTCTGTTTCATTGATCTATAGACCTGTTCTTGTGCCAGTACCATACTGTTTTGAGTACTGTAGTTTTGTAATATACCTTGAGGTCAGAGAGCATGATACCCCCAGCTTTGTTGTTCTTTCTCAGGATTGCTTTGGCTATTTGGGGTCTTTTGTAGTTCCATATGAATTTTAGGATTATTTTCTGTAGTTCATTGAAAAATGCCATTGGTATTTTGATAGAGATTACATTGACTCTCTAAATTGCTCTGGGCAGCATGGCCATTTTGACAGTATTTATTCCTTATTTATTCTCTGTCTGGTAGATTTACTGATGTAAGTGGTGTGTTAAAGTCTTCTAATATATGAATGAGTTCCAGCCTATTTCTCTCTTTAATTCTGCTAGTATTTTACATATTTACATGCTCCTATGTTGGGTGCATAGATATTTATAATGGTTATATCCCCTTGTTGGACTGATCCCTTTTTCAAAATGAAATGGCCTTCTTTGTCTCTTCTTTGTTTTGAAATCTATTTTGTCTGATATAAGTACTGCTACTCCTGCTTATTTCTCCTTATTGTTTGCATGAAATATCTTTCTCCACGCTTTCACTTTTAGTCTGTGTATGTCTTTGGGTCTGAAATGAGTCTCCTATAGGCAGCATATAGATGAGTGTTGTTTTTTAATCCATTCTGCCACTCTATATCTCTTGATTGATGCATTCACACCAGTTACATTTAAGGTAATGATTGATAAGTAGTTATTACCATTTTTTCATTAAGGTATTGCTGATATACAATCTTATGCTCAGGTTTCACATGAGCAACATTGTGGTTACTACATTCCCCCTATTATCAAGTCCCCACCACAGACCCATTATAGTCACTGTCCATCAGCATAGTAAGATGCTATAGAGTCACTACTTGTCTTCTCTGTGCTATACTTCCTTCCACTTGCCCCTCCTAAATTATGTATGCTAATCATAATAACCCTTAATCTCTTATCCCTCCCTTCCCACCCACCCTCCCCAGTTCATTTTCCTTTAGTAACTGTTAGTCCTTTCTTGGATCCTGTGAGTCTGCTGCCGTTCTGTTCCTACAGTTTTTATTTTGTGGTTATACTCCATAAATGACTGCATCATTTGGTATTTGTCTTTCTCCACCTGGCTTATTTCATTGAGCATAATACCCTCTAGCTCCATCCATGTTGTTGCAAATGTTAGAATTTGTTTTCTTCTTATGGCTGAATAATATTCCATTGTATATATATACTACATCTTCTTTATCCATTCATTTACTAATGGACACTTAGGTTGCTTCCATATCTTGGCTACTGTAAATAGTGCTGCTATAAACATAGGGGTGCATATGCCTTTTTGAATCTGGGATCCTGCATTCTTAGGGTAAATTCCTAGGAGTGGAATTGCTGGGTCAAATGGTATTTTTATTCTGAGTTTTTTGAGGAACATCCATTCTACTTTCCACAATGGTTGAACTAATTTACATTCCCACCAGCAGTGTAGGAGGGTTCCCCTTTCTCCACATCCTCACCAATATTTGTTGTTGTCTGTCTTTTGGATGTTGGCCGTCCTAACTGGTGTGAGGTGACATCTCATGGTGGTTTTAATTTGCATTTCCCTGATAATTAGCGATGTGTAGCATCTTTTCATGTGCCTGTTTGCCATCTGAATTTCTTCTTTGTAGAAGTGTCTGTTCAGATCCTCTGCCCATTTTTTAATTGGATTATATCCTTTTTGGAGGCATGTGAGCTCTTTATATATTTTGGATGTCAACCCCTTATCAGATATGTCATTTATGAATACATTCCCCCATATGGTAGGATGCCTTTTTGTTTTACTGATGGTGTCTTTTGCCATACAGAAGGTTTTTAGTTTGATATAGTCCCTCGTGTTCATTTTTGCTTTTTGTTTCTCTTGCCTGAGGAGATATATTTATGAAAAAGTTGCTCATGTTTATGTTCAAGAGATTTTTGCCTATGTTTTCTTGTAAGAGTTTTATAGTTTCATGACTTATATTCAGGTCTTTGATACATTTTGAGTTTACTTTTGTGTATGGAGTTAGACAATAATCCAGGTTTATTCTCTTGCATGTAGCTGTTCAGTTTTGCCAACACCTGCTGAAGAGGCTGTCATTTCTCCATTGTATGTCCATGGCTCCTTTATCACATATTAATTGGCCATATATGTGTGAGTTTATATCTGGGTTCTCTATTCTGTTCCGTTGGTCTATGAGTCTGTTCTTCTACCATTACCAAATTGTCTTGATTACTGTGCTTTGTAGTAGAGCTTGAAGTTGGGGAGCATAATCTCCCCTGCTTTATTCTCCCTTTTCAGGATTGCTTTGGCTATTCGGGTTCTATGGTTCCATATGAACTTTAGAACTATTTATTTCAGTTCATTGAAGAATGCTTTAGGTATTTTGATAGGGATTGCATCGAATCTGTAGATTGCTTTAGGCAGGATGGCCATTTTTACAATTCTTCCTACCCAAGAGCATGGGATGTATTTCCATTTATTAGTGTGCTCTTTAATTTCTCTCAAGAGTGTCTTGTAGTTTTCAGGGTATATGTCTTTCACTTCCTCGGTTAGGTTTATTCCTAGGTATTTTATTCTTTTTGATGCAATTGTGAATGCAATTGTTTTCCTGATTTCTCTGTCTGCTAGTTCATTGTTAATCTATAGGAAAGCAACAGGTTTCTGTGTATTAATTTTGTATCCTGCAACTTTGCTGAATTCAGATATTAGTTCTAGTAGTTTTGGAGTGGAGTCTTTAGGGATTTTTATGTATAATATCATGTCATCTGCAAATAGTGACAGTTTGACTTCTTCTTTAACAATCTGGATGCCTTGTATATCTTTGTTTTGTCTGATTGCTGTGGCTAGGACCTCCAGTACTATGTTGAATAGCAGTGGGGAGAGTGGGCATCCCTGTCTTGTTCCTGATCTTAGAGGACAAGCTTTCAGCTTCTCATTGTTAAGTATGATGTTGGCTGTGGGTTTGTCATATACGGCCTTTATTAGGTTGAGGTACATTCCCTCTATACCCATTTTGTTGAGAGTTTTTATCATGAATGGATGTTGAATTTTGTCAAGTGCTTTTTCAGCATCTGTGGAGATGATCATGTGGTTTTTGTTCTTCTTTTTGTTGATGTGGTGGATGATGTTGATGAATTTTTGAATATTGTACCATCCTTGCATCCCTGAAATAAATCCTACTTGATCATGATGGATGATCTTTTTGATGTATTTTTGAATTTGGTTTGCTAATATTTTGTTAAGTATTTTTGCATCTATTTTCATGAGGGTTATTGGTCTGTAATTTTCTTTTTTTGTGGTGTCTTTGCCTGTTTTTGGTATTAGAGTGATGCTGGCTTCATAGAAGGAGTTTGGGAGTATTCCCACCACTTTTATTTTTTTGGAAATCTTTAAGGAGAATGGATATTATATCTTCACTAAATGTCTGATAAAATTCAGCAGTGAAGCTGTCTGTTCTTGGAGTTTTGTTCCTGTAGATTTTTGATTACCTATTCAATT